GTTTGAGATTGTTGATTCCTTCGCTGATTTTTCCTCCAGAATTGAGTTGGAATTCTTTATTTTTGTCTTCATATCTTTTGAGGGCGGCAGTTACTGTTTGGGTAGTGATGGGTTTCACTGTTCGCAATATGTGACGTATCTCGGCGATGTGAGTGTTGTGAATCGAGTGTAGTAGTCGTCTTCCTAGGAGGGATTCGTCGATGTGACCTCCTCGATTGAAGAATTCATTTTTGAGTTTAGACAATTCGTCGAGGTGGGTTGAGATAGATGTCTTGTAATCCTGTCGGAATTGTTCTATCTTGTTTTGCAGAAGGTAGATATTCGCTTCGTTGTCGGATTGATGGAATTCTTTGACTATTGCCCATAGATGGCCCGGTCGGCGGCCCATGGAAGGCACTAATCTTCCCGGCGTCGGTTGTGCTTCGGGATCGGCTGCTAATTCTTTGTCGGTCGGTGGTATCATTTCTCTAACGAGTGGGATCTTGACGTCAAGCAGACCTGCTCGAAATCTTGCAGCGTTTGTCTCGTCCATCTTAGAGAATAGGAATTCAAGGATGCAGTTTCGGTTGATGCGATTTATTGTGTCTTCGACTTCGTAATCCTCGTAATGAACATCGGTGAGATAGCTATCGAAAAATATGCTATTCATCTGCCCCATAACTTGCTTGGACCATGACGTGTAGTTGTTGTCGCTTAAGTCGTCGATTCCTTTTATTTTGTTTAGCATTGAAGACATTGCGAAGGCGTGAGCTTGATCTGCTCCGAGGACAAGTCCGGGGGTTGATAAGCGCACGCCAACCCCCAAGGCGCACGCCAATCTACACGCCACTTGCAGATTGGCGTGCGCGTTGGGGGTTGGGCGTGCGCTTAAACAACCCCCGGTACTTGTCCTCGGAGCAGATCAAGCTCACGCCTTTCGTAATGTCTTCAATGCTAAACAAAATAAAAGGAATCGACGACTTAAGCGACATCACTACACGTCATGGTCCAAGCAAGTATGAGGCAGATGAATAGCTATATTTTTCGATAGCT